AGCCTCACCTCTACGTAATAGTTTTAAGTTGTTCCGGGTGCCAATTAGACTTTTAATTTTGCTGTTCCCTCCGGCGGCGGGAGGATGTGTGTGGTTTGCGTTTAGTCAGAGTTGATTTTTTTTCTTTTTTGGTGGTGGTGATGGTGGTTCCGGGACAGGCGAGGAGACGAGGAGGCTATTTCGGGGTTCCTTCTGGGCCTGTGTTGGGGGGGAGGCGCCGGGCGCTCCGAATTTGGGGTTCCCCGTAGGGCCATGGTGGGTGTCTCGGGAGTGCCACCCAAGGCCCCCGGTGGCGATCGGAGGGGTGGCCAGCGTGGTCCCCCCTGGAGACGCCCAGGCCGAGTTAACTCCACGGACTCCCCCCGATTCCCGCAGCAATAGGGTGAGTTTTTATTGACTCACAGAGCACGACCAGGCAGCGCTGCATGAATTAGCAAACAGCTGTTTCTAATTTGAGTGTAGAACGGTACACAGAGGAACTTGTTTGTCTGTTCGCTCCTTTCATTTATAATGAATTTTAATCACCGCTACAGGTGAGAAAAATGTAGGAACAAGCTTGTATCTTGTGGAAGAAACAAAGGAGAGACAGATGTAACAGATTTGCAGCCTGCGATGAAAGGGAGGTTTGCCGCACGGCACATGCAATTAGAACGCAGCTGTCGCTGGTCCCGGGTCCACGCACGCGGCCGAGGGTGGGCTCTGCCAGTCCCCGAAGGGAGTCCAGAAATACAGTGATTCAACCCCGAAAGCATGTGGCTCTCCCTCCAGACGCCGAGCCCTTCGCTCCGGGCCTTGGCGGGGCTGTTTCCAGAAAGCTCCGAGATGACTTCAGGGGCAGCTCCCTCCTCCCTTGAGGAGGTGGGAGGCGGGCAGGGCGATGTTGGGGTGTGAGGGAGGCCAGGCCAGGCACCGACGGGGAGGCCCTTTGGAGCCCCTCCACTAGCTACAAGTGCCCCGTCTTTGGGGAGTCTCTCCGCAGGGCAGATGGGGGGGCTTTATTCCCCCCCAGTCTGTTTAATTTCTGCAATAAAAGTCAAGCTATTCCCAATGTCGGCCGCTGAGGGAAGGAGCGGCCGGGCGGGCTGTGAGCTCCCGGAGGCCAGAGGCTGCCAGGGGAACAGCGGGCACCTCCTCCTTGTCCTGCGGGCCCAGTGGCCCTCTGGGATGGCAGCGCCCCCCTGGGGGAGGGGTCAGGGGAGTCTGAGGATCTCCCACCCACTCCTCCAGGAGCCTGGAGACCCAGGTCCAAGTCCAAGCCCTTGCAAAGCGCTGGTGCCTCAGTTTCTCCGCCTGTACAGTGAGGGGTGGGCTGGGTGCCCCGGGCAGTTCCTTTCCTCTCTGACACCCTGGGGTGGTCAGTGCAGGGCCCTGGGGCCGTGGTGCAGGGCCAGCCGCCTGTGCTTTGAAAACCATCTTCTGGCCCAGCCCGTGTGGCTCAGTGGTGAGCATCAACCTTGAACCAGGAGGTCTCGGTTCCATTCCCCTTCAGGACACACGCCTGGGTTGCGGGCTCGATCCCCAGTCGGGGGCATGCAGGAGGCAGCCGATCCATGATTCTCTCTCATTGTTGATGTCTGCCCTGCGGCCTCAGGTTGAGCCAGGAGCCAGTAGCCAGCGACGGTTTTTATACACTAGAGAGCATTTCTCGCATAGAACTCTTGATAAATATCCACCTATTCCATCTGCTAGGGAACGGTATAGGTGGGACTGTCCTTCTCCCCATTTTACAGATGAGGAAACCGAGGCAGGTGTCTTCGTCTAACAAACAACAGGAGCCGGCAAGGATGTGGAGAAAAGGGAACACTAGTTCATGGCTGGGGGGAATGCAGACTGCTGCAGCCACCATGGAAAACGCCATGGAGTTTCCTCAAAACATTAAAAAAGGAACTTCCATTTGACCCAGTGATCCCACTTCTGGGAATGCATCCTAAAATCCTCAAAGCACTGCCCTAGCCGGTTTGGCTCAGTGGATAGAGAGTCAGCCTGTGGACCAAAGGGTCCCGGGTTCGATTCTGGTCAAGGCTCCTCCCTGGCCCAGGACCTGGTCAGGGCTCGTGCGGGAGGCAACCAATCGGTGTGTTTCTCTCACATCCATGTTTCTCCCTGTCTTTCCCTCTCTCTTCCACTCTCCCTAAAAATCAATGGAAAAATATCCTCGGGCGAGGATTAACAAAAACACACACACACAAACACTTCAAAACACCAACCAGAAAGAATATATGCACCCCTATGTCCACAGCAGCGTTATTTACAGCAGCGAAGGGTTGTAAGCAGCCTGATGGGTAGATGATGGATAGTAGATGATGGATAAAAGGCTGTGGGCACTTACACTGCGGAATACTATGCAGCTGTGAAAAAGAGGGACCTTAGCCCAGCGCTCATCCGCGTTCTCAAGCCCCGTGCCTTCTCCGGACGGTTCCGGTTCCCGTTCACGGAGAACGGTGCCTTTCCACCGTGATGTCACCATCCGCTCCTCACAGCGACTCTCCTTCCTCAGAGGTGGACACAGGGTCTCCGGGGTTCGGAGGAGTGTGCCCGGGCGGATGAACAAACCGGGGTGTCAGGGCAGGGGGCACGGGGTCCGGGAGCAGCTGGCCGTCCTGGGCCTCGCCGGGCCCCTCCCCGAAATGCAGACAGTGGGCCAGCCCCGTCCTCCCTCCACAGCGGGCCCAGAGGAGGGCCAGACCGTGACTGCGCTGGAGGCCGGACGC